CCTGCATGGGGAGGGACACCTCCCACCAGCCCAGGCTGCTCCAAGCCCCATCCAACCTGCCCTTCAACACTGCCAGGGATGGGGCAGCCACAGCTTCCCTGGGCAACCTGGGCCAGGCTCTCACCACCCTCACACCAAACAATTTCCTCCTCATGTCTCACCTCAATCTCCCTCTTCCAGTTTTAATCCCTTCCCCCTTGTCCTCTCCCTCCCTGCCCTTGTCCCAAGCCCCTCCCCAGCTTTCCTGGAGCCCCTTCAGGCACTGGAAGCTGCTCTAAGGTCTCCCTGGAGCCTTCTCTTCACCAGGCTGAAATTTACCTCCTGAAATTCATCCCATCAAAGCATTTTTTCAGTAAGTCTTGTTTGGAAACCTAATCACTTCCACTTCACCTAAATGTGGAAAGCTACCACAAACTCCATCAAGAGAAACCCAGTGAGGGACACCAGGAGGTCCTCACCTCACGGCTCCGCGCAGCACACGCAAGATACAGAGACACCACAGACCTCCCAGCTGGAGAATCCAGTCTGGAAAGGCGCAACAAAGATCCCTCTTCCTCTCCCCTCCCTGAAAGGCTTCTAGCTGACTCCCTAGGGATGCACTTTGCCACTTGAAAACTTCCATTTGTTCCCTTCAATCCCTCCTTTAGATTTCTGGACTTTGATTCCTTTCAACTGAAGCCACCACGGAGTAACAAACACAGGAGAACTTCCTAGGAAGGGAGGTCTCTGCTACAACAGACTGAGCCTCCAACGAGCAGACTTCAAACTATTAAAGATGAGACACCCAAGAGCATCATCTTAAGTGCCAAACAGGCAAGTTCAGTATAAATAAACCCCCCCCAAAAAAAAGGTGTGGAAGGGCAGGCTGAATGAGGCTTGTGCAGCCTGGTGTGGTGGGAGGTGTCCCTGCTCATGGCAGGGGTTTGGAACTAGATGGTCTTTAAGGTCCCTTCCAACCTTCTCCATTCTGTGATTCCACTCTATGAAATTAACAAAAACAGATCCTCAGAAATTCAGTCTGCAAGATAAAAATTGGTACTCTCTGTCCCAGCAGAAGCAAAGCCAGGCCCAGGAATGGCTGTACCCTCAGAGAAGATCTCAAAGGCCACCACCCTGACCTGGGGTCACCAACAGCTCCTATTTGAACTGCTCTTTCACACACAGGGTTTGGTAGCTTTTAAAGTATTCCTGGAGAGGAATTGTAAAACTTAGACAGTAAAAACAACACCAGACTATTAATAGAGAGAAAACTCTGATCTTGGGAAACAAGCAGCAAATTCCATTATCTCCCTCTAAGACTGATCCAGAGCACAGCACGGAATAAGTGCTGCTCAGTGACCTTTAGTTAAGTGATTCCTTTGGAAAATGGTCTTGAAGTTCACTGTAAATTATTTCAATTTTAGCAGTTATATAAACTAATCAAGTGCAGGGTTCTAAAGCAGCCCAGCAGTTAATTGCCAGGCCAGTGAAGTGAAAGAACAAGATGGTCTTTTCTCTGCATTGGTGAAGCTCTGGGCCCAGCACTCCCCTCACTCTGATGACCCCAGCACTGCCTCCACACAGAGCATTCCAGATCCTTCTCAACTCCCCCAACAAACAGACCCCTTAATCAGTTCAACCATGGCAGCAGAAAACACCAACAGTAAGGACTTATTCCTTTAGTTTGGTCTCTAGAAGGAGGGTTTCTGCCCTTCCTGAAGGCCCCTAGACCAGCCAGAGTTCAAATGTTATTCCTGAAGGACTGGACTGATGAATTAGTTACACTCAATACCTTCTCCTGTGCTGCTTCCCCTTCTGGACTGTGGTATCTGCTCTACTCATCCTTCAGGAATGAAAAATGCCCCCCCACACACATGCACACACAAGCAGGATGATGAAAAATTAAACCTGTATCAGCAGTAGAAACCCAGACCTTGTTAGAAATGACCCTTTACTCCTTCCCCACATTTCCCAACACCCTAAATTTAAAGGAATTCCACATATGAACCACCATCCATGCAGCTTGGATCAGAATATTGCCCAGTGCAGTGGTCATCAGACTGGCTGAGATCCAAAACCAGTTCAGCTCATGGAGGTGCCACCTGCTTCTAACCCCACCAAGGGAATTTGCTGTCTCAACACCAGCCAACAATATTAAATGTTACCATAAAACCCACAACTGGATCAGGAAAAACATTCTCATCTTTAGCATTCTGGGCCCAGAACAGTCTCCCAGGCTTCCCCAGCTTTGTTACCTGTCATGACAGTCTGTATCTACCCTGAGATAACGACGTGCATCCAAATCCAGGTCCTGGACTAGAGGTGACAGGAGCAGCACCAATTCCAGCTTGTACTCACAGTCATCCCATTTCCCTCCCTGTCAACATCTCCTTTTCCCTCTCAACATCTCCTTTTCCCTCTCAACATCTCCTTCATCATGCACATGGGGTTTCCACAAACCCATCTCACAAGTGCTCAGCTGCTGCTGCGAATACTCTCCACCACACAAACATCTCTCTTAACAGCCCAGAATTAAGTCCCAGGCTCCTCTCTCCTATTTCACTCCACTTCTCAGGCACCACAACTCCAGAGATCTGAAGGATCAGCTCAAAAGTCAAAACTATTTTGATTCAAATTGCACCAGAGACCCAAAGTCTCCTCAATTTTCCAACCTGCCCCTGTCACACAGCACAGAGAGCAGTTGTGTAAGCACCTCTGCTTCCAGCACGTTCCACCACACTGACATCTATTAACCAAGAGAACAGCCCCACCATGGACTGCCTGTCACACCCAAGCAGCCATGGGACCTCTCACCCTTCCAGAAGGGAGGTCAGAGTAGAGCAGAACTGCTACACCCACAGCACCAACCACAGAATGGGAACAAGGCACTTACCCATCTCTACCTTTACTGACAATCTTCACCTCGAAGTAATAGATGCCACAGGCTGCAGGGATGGGGTGTGTGGCCCTCACTGAGGCTGCATCCTTGTGGTTTTTACCATGACCTAGGAAAGGAGAGAAGCATAAGTCCAGGTGGGATGGGATCTAAGACCCCCTGAACACAGCAGGGAGCTGTTTCTGCATAGACCCAACAGTTCCAAGTGCTCTTTTCAGAGAACTAGAACATACAACCCTGCAGGGCCACGTTCCCTGCACCCTCAGCACTGAGGTCCTGTCATTGTTCTCACTGGGAAGCTACTGAGAGGGACAGGGCTGCTTCTCCCCCTCTTGCAGCACCTGAAGCTGGGGAGGGACTTTTCACAAGAAATGAGGGGGAGTGAAGCTGAAAGAGGGGAGGTTGAGGTGAGACATGAGGAGGAAATTGTTTGGTGTGAGGGTGGTGAGAGCCTGGCCCAGGTTGCCCAGGGAAGCTGTGGCTGCCCCATCCCTGGCAGTGTTGAAGGGCAGGTTGGATGGGGCTTGGAGCAGCCTGGGCTGGTGGGAGGTGTCCCTGCCCATGGGGGTGGGACTGGATGATTTTAAGGTCCTTCCAACCCAAACCAGTCCGGGATTCTGGGATTCTAAGACCAACGCACACAAGCAGAAGACAAAAACGATTACACAAGAGGAGAATGACATCAGTGTTTACCAACCAGGCAGGAAAGGGAATGACCAGTTCTGCTCCGGGTGGCTCGGGAGAGCAGCCCAGGAAACACCCCCCGCGCTCCCCCAGCCCCGGCAACC